TCACAGATGCAAAGAGTCAAGTGAATCTGTTTCTTCTCACCCACCAGACCCAGCGTTCTGGGCCTGGGCCCAGATTTCAAAGTTGCTCAGGGCTGGGGGCTGCCCCAGTGGGTTGAGTGGGCTACAGCAATCTGCTCTTTTTAACAGCTCACCGCACCCACACTCACTCCTCTCCCTGGTTCCCACCACCATTGCTCCCCAGACAATACCAAAAGTAGGGAGTCTATCTCTTCCCTCCCCATTTCCAACCCTTCTCAAGGACATTTTGCAAGGCTGGAAGAGCCCTGAGCCATCTCAACTCACTTGTTTTTCACAGAAGTGGAGTTGGTCAAGAAAAGAGATATATGACTTGTCCAAAGCCACACAGCAAGTGAGAGTGGCAAAACCTGTCCCCTGCTTTCTAGTACAATGTCCTCAGTTGCCTGGATAGTGATAATGACTAGAATGAAGGAGTTATATCACTTCTCTTATACCATGTCCTTATTTATAAAAAGGAAATCATAATCTTTACACCACAGATCTCATAGAATTGTTATGAAAATGTTTGTAAATCTTAAAGCATTATAGAAATGACATATTAAGCATGAATGAATGAATAAATGAAGAAATATTTATTAAGCACTTACCATGTGCTGTAAATACAGACACAAAAGTGAGATAGCCCCTGCCCTCAAGGAGCTTATATTCTAAAAGGAGGAGACAATAGATATGGGGGACTGGTGGCCAGGAAGAAATACTTTGTTTTGGAAAAGTCACAAGGATGATGAATTGTAGCCACAGGGGAACAGATGGACAGTAGTGATTTGATTATGGTTCCAAAGCTGGAAAGGGGAAAGAGGAATGAGGGTATATAAGACACCAGGGATGATGACAAGATGACTGGGTGTGAGGTTAAGCATAGCCATGACTAGCTAGAAAAACAAACTCCCCTACCACATAGCCCTTGCCACTTGCATGTCCAGAATGGCCAGCCTGCTGCCCTCCTCATCACCTCATGTCATTTCAGCCCAAATCCCACCTGCGCTTTAAGCCTCACCTGCTCCAGAGTACTGACTGATCACACAGTCTACTCAGATCCTTCCCCTCCTCAGTTCCTCTACCACTGAATGACTCCGTTGTCCTTGTTAGGTCCTAGTAATGGGCATCGGTAATCTACTATTATTTAGGTTGGGATAGTTATAATTTTCTTTTCACATACATGTCTCTCCACTAGACTACATGCCCCCAAAGGGCAAGGGATGGTCAGTCAAGCAACAAACATTCATTAAGCACTTAACGGTGTTTTCCTCCTTTGTAATCCCCTTTTGTGCCACATATTTAGAGCTAGAAGGGACCTTACAGGTCGTCTGGTGCGCCCCCCTCATTTTATGAAAAAAAAAAAAGAAACTAAAGCTCAGATTAAATGATTTGCCCAATACTGCACAATTCAGTAAGCAGCAAATCCGGGATTAATACCCAGGTTCTACAGATGGAGAGTCAACATTTGCTCTATAGCATCCCACTACTCCCTCCACGGTATAGTCCAATGGGTTTTGGTCAAGTTGTTGAGGATATCTTTACACAGGTTCCACTAGTCCCCTGACTGAGGAGTCCGTAAACAAGCATTTACTGTGTGCTTGTGTACTTATTGTGGCAGGTGAAAGATGAAACGACTGAGGAAACAAAGGGTCAAACTTCTAAGTATATTGATTTATTAAGCAACGCATGCCAATTGCCCAACAAACCATGACCAGACCTCCTCAGCTTAGGCCTGGACCCTGAATACAGGGGGAGACAGACTTTTATACATTAAAAATAATTAATCAAATAAGGCCAATTAATTAAAAGGAAATAATACATTAGGTCATTTGATTTTTAATTGAACAAAAAATTAGGGACTTTCCAAGTTGGGAGGGGGAGAGTAAACAGGTGCACTACCTTGAAATCAGAAAAGGAGATGTCCCACTCCCTCCAATTGTCTGTAAACAATCAAAGGAACATGGAAACAGTAGCTAATTGATCAGTACAGGGCCATTTTTCAGATAAGACACATGAATTGCTTGAGATGTGCAATTGTGAGAAAAATCTTTGCCTCAATCTTTGGATATGACTGGGTTTCTGGTCAGCATAACCTAGGTCCTTAGCTATGGGTCTCTAAGTAGCAGTTAAGGGCTGTCCAGTTCCCCAGCCATGCAGGGCTAGATTCAAACAATATAATAAAGTTTTCTCCCAACTCCCACAATCAAATGAAGTTTTCTCTCGAGACAGAATTTTGACTAGACCTATAATTGAATAGAAAAGGAACTGAGCTAGCTCCAGAACTGAGTCACAAGATGGAGTCAGTATGGTTCACTCAATTCTCACAATTAACCACTTGCTGTTCTAATCCCCTCAATTTTCTCACTACTATGTGGCAGGCACTGTGCTAAGACTGAGGATACAAATGGGGATGTTTCCTGCTCTCAAGAAAGTCATAGTCTAATGCAGGAGACAACGTGCAAAATGTCAGTTAGTTGATTGAGCACCTACTCAAAAGCCCTTGTCCCGGGTCTCCTCCTTCATCCCTCCAAGCCCCTCCAGCTCAGGGTTCTGCAAGGCTGCTGGAAAGCAGGAGCAACGCACGGCCAGTTCCCAGAGTAGAGGAACTAATCCTGGATGGAGAATCTGAACAAAACCTCAGAGTCATTGCTCTGCCACCGATTTGTTGTCCTACCTTGAATAAACTAAGACTCAATGATCGCTAAGACCTCTTCTAGCACTACAATTCTAGAGTCTGCTCCAAAGGTGGATCCATCAATCTTTTGATCCCTCAAAAAGGGCCAAAGGATGGGAGAAATCCTCACGCAGTGGGGAGGAAGCTTGGGGAAAGCTTTTCAAGCTCTGAGAGCCAAGGGTGTCCTGCCCCCATTATAAACAAGCCTCTTGAAGCCACATCCCTACAATGTACCCTTTACACACATCTCAGTTACTGTGGAGGACACCACCATCCTCCCAACCCTTCTCACCCCCAGGAGTCATCCCAGATTCTTCACTCTCCCTGAGCCCCCATATCCAAGTTGTTGCCAAGGCCTGTTGATTTCACCTTTACATCATTTCACGAATATCCCTACTTCTCTTTTGACACTATCACTGCTCCGGTGTAGGCTCTCACCACCTCACACGCAGATTATTACGACAGCCCTCATGGTGGGTCGGCCTCTCTCAATCTCCCAACTCCAGTCTGTCCTCCATGCTTCCAAAGTGATTTTCCCGAAGCACCAGTCTGAACCTGTCACCGCCACATTTATACACTTGAATCTGTGGCTCCCTGTTACCTCCAGGATCAAACACAAAATCCTGTTTGTCATTCAAAGCCCCTGTAACCTAGCCCCTCCCTTCCTCCACTGCCCCACCTCACTCACATTACAACCTTCCAGGTACTATTCAATCCAGTGACACTGGCCTCCCACTCTCCAGCTCATGGCATTTTTTTCTGGCTATCCCCCATGCCAGGAATGCTCACTTTCATCAACTCTCCTGGTTTCCCTAGCTTCTTTTAAGTCCCAGCTTCAAGTCACCCTCTGTAAGAAGTCTTTCCAAATCCCTCTGTTAATTATTTCCTATTTATCCTGCACACAGCTCTACATACACATAGCTTGCTTGTTGTCTCCCCCATTAGATTGTGAGCTCTATGAGGGCAGGGACTATCTTTTGCCTTTCTTTATATCCCCAGCACTTAGCAAAGTGCCTGGCATACAGTGTTTAATAAGTGTTTACTGACTGATACCTGAGTGAGGATCGCCCCTGTAAGAAGGCCCTACAAAGCTAAGATGGTCAACTATTTCTGCAACTCAAAATTGGGCCACGGCTGTAGAGGCAACAGAAACAGCTTTAAGATCTCCTGCTTGAGGGTCTACAAATATCAACATAAGTGCAGATGGTGCTGGGGATAATGATGAGAATGATGGTGCTGGTACCATTCATGGTGAAGAGGCTAGCAGAAACATGTCAAGACTTGTAGGAGGAACCTTGAAAATGCTTTGTCTATAGCTCCTACTCCATCACTAGCCAACAGAAACTTAAGATACCTGGCTGCCACCAGGTAGAGACAAATAGGATTTATTTTCCTACTCCATTAGGAGTAGGGTTAAGAGATGCACCAGCTAAAAGGCTGATTAACTAGGGAAATTTAGCAGTCCCTTCTCCCTACCTCCAGCAGCATCAGGACACTCAGGAAGGTGTCCAAGGATCCCTTCAACCCTAGGCCACAGTGTACAAGGTGAGTACCTAAAGATGGCTCCACTGCACAGACCAAGGCAAAAATGCAAAACAAGGAGCAGCTGCTGGAACAGTAAGAAGCAGAGCTCTGAGTATCAGTTCTGACTCCCCCAAGCCACCCCAGAGGGTCCTACCTTTCTATACTGGCAATAAGAAAGCATTTCTAGCAATTTCAGGGGTGGAGCTGCTGCACTTGGAACCTGATCCTCCAAGGAGGCAGGCTTTGGGCACTGCTGCCTTGCCCCACCCCCTGCCCTCTGGAGGAGGAGGACAAAGCCAAGCAGAATGCGGTAAGGGAAAGAACTCCAGTCAAAGGCAAGAGGCTAGACTTCTAGTCTATACTCTGTCACTAACATGCTCTAGGACCTTGGCCCGGGGTCTTTAATCAGTTGGATTCCTCCTCTATAAACTGAGGGACGAGATGCTTTCTAGTATTTCTTAAAGCCCTAAAATTATATGATCTGTGACTCCTAACCCTTTGTTCAAATCTAAGCGTGGACAATAACAGACTTTGTGGCCTCTTCAGTTACTGTGGCCCCCAGCAGGGGGCTCTGGTGTAACGTAAGTGAAACCCTAACTCCCCACTCTAAAAACCTGGAACTTTAAAGCTGAAAGGGACCTTAGGGATCCCCTAGTCCAACCCACTTCCCCTCATGGAACTGAGAACCAGAGGGAGAAAATGACTTGTCCAAAGACCCACAGCCACGCCTAGCAAACAGTCCCTCTCATAAAGGCTAAGCCCCAGAAACAAGAGGACGCAGAGCCAGGGTGGCAGCCACACTTTATTCTAGACATCAGCTGCTCAGCAGCAAATAGGCTCCACCCACATCATAATGTGATCAGGAAAGCCCAGTTCTGCTCCTCCCACTATTCCTCTGGCCAATCCTGGGGACACTTAGACCTTTGTCTGACTTTGGGTTCCTAGTGGGTTAGGCAAGTGATGGAGAGGATCAGAGGCCACCAGGTAAGGGGCTCAGAGACAGAGCAGGCTCTGTTCTACGGAAGAGGGCAACACCTTGATGGAGGAGGAAGGGTCAGGTGGGTCACACAGGGGGAACACCTCTGATTCGGCGGATGATATTGGCCAACCACCTGACAAGCCTACTCCGCTTGGGCTCTTCCAGGTGGAAGGTACGGGTAAGAAGGTTGTAAAAGGAGCCATAACAGACAGCCACAACGGTGCAGGTGAGGCAGATGACGTTGTAGGGCATGCTAAAGTCTGGGGTAGGCAGGTTCACCAGCAGCGGCTCAGTGTAGAGTCTCACAAAATAACTGGAACTGTCAGAGGAGGGAAACCTGCCAGGGAGGGAAACAAAGAGATGGGAGTCTCATGAGAGCTCAGAACTCTCGGCCTCAGTCCCTTCTTCAGATTCACACCAATAAGAGCACACTCTCTGAAGATTCCAGATTTGTAAAATGCTTTGCTCACAACAACCCCATGTTACCAACCGCACAGGTATCACAATCCTCATATAGAACTCAAAGCTAGGGAAAGCCAAAGCAGAGACATGAATTCAAATCTCTTGATCTCACAAGCCAGGGCTCTCTACACCATCCTACTACCCACTGCCACCCAAAGCCATCAGCCTAGTAACTGATTTTGGTCAATGAGGAACTATTTTGGGAAAACATGACCTTAATGAGCTCTAAATGTTTTTACTATTGTGCTGATCACTCCAACCAACAACCCCCTGGCTTCCAAGGAGTCATAAACTAAAAAGCACTTGTGAAAAATGCCCTAATTGGAGTCTCTGCTCCCACTGCCCTTGGGGCACACTGCAGTCATGACATGGGAAGGTGCCATGGTGCAGTGCAGAGCTCTGGCCAGAGTCTCCAGGCCTAGGGTGGAATATCAGCTTTGTCCATTAATAGCTGCAATGACCCTGAACTGGCTATTTCCCTTTTCTAGGACTTAGTTTCCTCAGCTGTAAAAAAAAAAAGGAGCCTAGACTAGATGGTCTTTCAGGTTCCTCCGAGTTCCGCCATGCTCTTAAGTCCCTCTCAACTCCAACATTCAATGTAGTTCAATTCAGTACAATTTTATTAATAAGCACAATGTATAGAGCACTGGCCCTGGGTTTGAACTCAGAGGACCTGAGTTCAAACCCAGCTTCTGACACTTGACACTTACTAGCTGTGTGATCCTGGGCAAGTCACTTAACCCCACTGCCTAACCAAAAAAAAAAAAGCAACACCTCCCAAAGTCACGGAGTTGGATACTAGATGTTCTAGGTTCTGAAAGGATCTTCCAGTCTTAACATTCTATGTTCCATACTCTAAGTTCTCTTCTAGCTCTACTATACTGAGTATCTGATGATATTAAAATAACTGAGATATTTATAGCAATGAATGAATTACAATGTACTGTAAGCATACATCTTATCCGATCTAATAAGATTAGATTAGGTGACATCTAAGGTCCTTTCTAGCTCTGATTCTCTAGTCCTACATCCCTTAAAATAACCCTATCAGGGAAACCGTCCAAGTATAATCTTTCCCATTTTAGAAATGAGTTAAAGGAGGCTCAGATCTTGAAGGCTATGAGTCACACACTTGCTTGGGTTGTGACTTGCCCCTGGTCAGATGGCCTGTAGATGGCAGGGTCAGTACCTGAACCAAGGCTTCTGACTCTAAATCCACAACAAGGTCCTCTTCAGGTCCAACCAAGATTTTGGCAGCTCTGCTGTGGTTGGGGGTCAGCATCCTGTCCAGGCCCCTTGCCAACAGCACCCCAAACCCTGATGCTGCTCTTTATCCCATCTGACCCCACAGGAGAATTGTAGCAGGTTACTCCAAGGTGTATGTTTCCAAAGGATACCAGGTAAAGGGCAAAAAGTGTTCTTTACCCCAACCCCAGCCTCCAGAAAAGAGATCTCCAGGTTGTCTGGACACCACATTCTCTGAAAGCAGAAAAGTACTACGAGAGGGGCTCAGGAGTGTGTAGCTGCACCCAGAAGATAAAATTTTGACACTCACATTGTGCTGAAGAGTGGGCTTTCTTCCCAGTCTGCTGGTTTGGCTCCCACCAGGTTCGGCACCAGGGCACTCAGGACGGATGGGCTGCACAGAAACAAACAAAATGTGTTTCTGACTTATTACTACCTTTTGGGGCAAGCTTCAAAGAGGCTGGGGCTGGGGGAAGGACAAAAAACAGAAGGCTTCCCAACATACCTGACATAGAAACCATGATTCGGGTCAGGCGTGTATTCAGTCCACCTGAGCAAAGCACGTTCAAACTGGATGGAGACCTTGGTAACAGAATTAGCTGGCAGCTGAATAAGCATCTCCAAGAGGTGGGGGCGCAACCGGTCCTGTGCGGGCTGGTAATGAATGTAACCTGGAGCAAGAGAGGGTCATCAACTTCCCTCACCTCATCCTGGGGGCTTACCCCAACCTTTGTACCGGTGCCATGCTCATATCTTGTCTCAGGCCCATGTTCTTAGGGGGTAGGGCTGGGGACTGAGGCAGTCTGGGCGATAGAACAATGTTTTCAGAGATCAAAAAGGTCTAGGACAGGCTGAACTCAAACTTTCCAAGCGTGGAAAGGGCTGCTTCCTGAAATAGTGACTCTTCCACCCCTGGAAGCACACCACCAAAAGGTGCATTCTTCTTAGGGACACCATGGATGGACTCTCATATGGGAGGGAGGTTAAATTAGCTGAAGCCCCTCAAAGCTTTGAGGTTCCACGAAGACAGGGACATCAGAGCCACAAGGACCACAGTACTGTCAGGAAAGGCGGGGAGCCAGGGTCCTTACTTGGCTTGTTGTCCTTGCCCTTCGTGGTGATGGCCAGTGTATGAACATAGAGCCGTAAGTACCAGGGCACGGTCTCCAGCAGCAGAACAGGAAAGGCTCGGTACGGGTGGGTGTTGTGCAGCACGGTGCTCAGCTCCCCCTTCTGCAGCCCATAGCCACTCACATACCGTTGGGCATGCAGAAATGGAACTAGCTGAGACTCTGTGGGAAGGATGGGGAAGCAAAGGGGTCAGAGTGAACAGGTCATCAAATGAAGCCTAAGCCAAAAAAGGGGAAAGGATCGCTTCTCACATTTTTTAACTCAACATCCTCCACAAAGGATGATGCAGTGCAAAGAATTCAGAACTCAGGACCTTGAGACCTGGGTTCTAGTCCCACTTCTGTCACTAACTTGCTCTCTGACCTTGGGCAAATCATTTCCCTGCTCTGAGCTGCAGTGTCTTCATCTGTAAAATGAGAGAGTCAGAATGGATGGTCTGAGGCATCTTCCAGCTACTAAATTTTATGACAACACCCCAATCTATCCTAGAGCCCTAAAGCCTAGGAGTGCGTTAGAAAAGCTTTGGAATCAGTGACATGAGGTTTTGGATTCTAGCCTTGGTCCCATCTCCTGCTAACTGGCTATGTGACCCCCGGCAGTTACTTAACCTCTCTGGGGGCCAGGAAATGGGGAGAATAACTCATACCCTGCCTATCCCACAAGGAAGTCTTGGTCCTGGAGAGAAACTGAGATAATAGACATAAAAAGAAAACAGACATGCAAATTTGTTTATGACTATTGAGATAACAGACAAAAATAAAATAAAATTACATGAACAAAAAGGAGACACATCGTGGTATAAGGGAAAGAGCGCTGACTGGAGTATAGTCAGGAGATGAGTTGAAATGTCAGTTCTGACCATTAGTAACCTAACCTCTTGAGCTTCAGTAAGAGGTAGTAACTACTTATGACACCTACGTGATTAAGCTGCTATGTTTTAAATCTCAAAGTGTTATATGAATGTGACTTCTTATTATCCTTCCTATCAGCTTAAGAGATCTCTATGTCTTTCCCAGATTCCCCATAAGAAGAGTCCCCAAGCCCTTCACCAATATCTTGGAGCTGCTTCCACTTCAGCTGCAGGTTAAGGCTGCGGGAGCCACTGAATGTGGCAGGGTTAAGCAGGTCATAGACAGCATAGGTCTTCCGGTCTCCCAAGACGACTGCCTGGTATGTGGATGTTGGAGGGGGGCTCACCTCAAGAGTCTCATTCTCCTAGGGACATAAGAATAAAGGTAGGTAGACCAACAGTACCTCCAGCTCAGAGGAAGGAAGAACATAAATACGGAATGTGCTGCATACCCATTAGGTATTAGTTTCTTTCTCTGTAAAATAGGGAGAAAAACATTCACCCCCCTATTTCAAAGAATTGTTAAGAGGAAAATATTCTATTAGCCTTAAAGTGTTATGGAAATGTGAGCTTGAGCTCTTACCTGACCATGTCTGGAGATATCAACGTAGACATAACTTTGTGAAGCCAAAGGACAGGCCTCAGTGATGGTTCGAGAAAACATCCGAAAGAGAGACCAGTCTGCAGAGACAAAGAGAGAGAAGAGTTAAGGGAAGTACTTGGATGGGTCCATACTTAGGGGGATGGGGTGGAAGTCAAGGGTTATTACCTTTCTTCCCCTGGCCTGTGGTATAGGCATCGAACACAACTGTGAGGGTCTGCCTCAGCTCCCAGGAGATACTGACACAGTGGGCATCCTAAAAATCATAGAATATTAGAGTTGGAAGGAACCTAGGGCCAGGGACAGATGTAAGACTGGCAGCAGTGAATAGCATTTCCCATCCCTACCCAATCTGTCTCTAAGCTTCTGCAGAATCATAAGATCATAGATTTAGAGCTGGAAGGGTTCAAATCCAACTCCTTTATTTTATAGATAAGAAAACTAAGGCCCAGAGATAAGTGACTTGTACAGTGTCGAAATATCTGAGGCAGTATTTGAATGTGTAGGTTATCCTTATTCTGTATTTTAACCTCTCTTACCATTCTGACTCAGATCTGGTTAGTCAGAGCTTTTCCTTTAGGTGCCCAGTACCCAAAACGCCTCACGTTATCAGTATATGGAAGAGCTCACTCCATCATCAGTGACTTACCCGGCACACAGGACGGATATGCACTGCCTGTGAGTGATAGCTGGTATGGAACAAGCGTTCAGCCTTAAGAAGTACAGAGAGGCCTGCCTGGGGAGCAAAAGAGGAGAGAAGGTTTAACACCCACATAGGAAACTTCTTCAGATGCTACCTGGTAATGTGGAAGATGACTCTCCAGACATATTCACTGCCATCCCAGAATGAAGTAGTACTTTCCCAGTTTTCCCAGTTCCTTGGTATTGGTGAGAGCTGGAGAGTCTAACAGAATAGTTCCAAATAGCTCATTTCACCTTGGAACTACAAGGCAAGAGCTTCTTCCATGGAGTGAGATTCTCAGTGCACACCACCTCTCGGGGAAGGACAGCATAACGAAGGAAATGATGGTTGGTACCTATAAGAGGAAAGGTCAGAGCTCAGGGTCAGGCTGGTCTCTGTCACTTATACCAAAAGCATTCTAGCCTAACTCTAGATGATAGAGGCTAGTGGTCTTCCTACCCTCACCCCCCCCCACACACACACCCAGGTTCCCCAAGCACTGTTTCTACTTCTTTTCATCATCTCAAATATTAGCCACCTACTGTGTGCCGAACATTATACTCAGCATAATAGGGAAACACAAAGTTTTAGATAAGACACAGTCCCTTCCTTCAAGGAGTATACAATTCAGTAGTGAGATCACTCATTTACACAAATAACTAATACATAGCATTATAAAATAAATGCAATTGAGAAGTACAAAATAAAGAGCTATGCGAGGTCTTACCAATGTAGGATTTTTATTAGGTAGGCCCCATTTCACTAAGTCTCAGGAGGAAGGCAAGGGTGAATTAACTCTTCTCTTCCTCCTAGAGTCCTTGCCAGGTTTCATTACTAAGAACGAGAAAGCCATCCTGGCTTTCAGACGGCAGAATATATTCTCTTTCCATCATCCTCTGGGTTTCAAATGCCAACAGTAAGACCAGAGACCTTTGTTATCTACTCTTCTCACACAGTCTGGTTTCCAGGACTCAACTGCTATTCTGTCCCTTCCATGAGGTTGATAATAACAACTGGTATTTGATATATATAGAGTAAAGCACTTTACATACATTACCTTACCTAATTGTCACAACAATCCTGAGTGTTAGTACTACAGATATTAAGCCTCACTGTTATAGATGAGGAAACTAAAGGTAAAATGACTTGCCCACATTCACATAGTATGCATGAGACAGAATCTGAACCCAGGTCTCCAAGGACCCAAATCTAGCACTATTTCCAATCTACCCCCAAGGGAGTCTTGACTTTGTCACCTAACTATTGATCACTGGCCAGTTACTTTCTCTCTCTGGGTCACAGTTTCATTGTCTATGATGTCTTTTAGCAGGATATAGTATCCTTCCTTATCTCTTTTAATAAGATCTATTTTTGCTTTGTCTGAGATCAGGATTGCTACCCCTGCTTTTTTTTACTTCAGTTGAAGCATAACACATTCTATGCCAGGTGTTTTTTTTTTATTTCACTCTCTCTCTCTTTTTTTTTTTTGGCTTTTTGGTGAGGCAAGTGGGGTTAAGTGACTTCCCCAGGGTCACACAGCCAGGAAATGTCCAGTGTCTGAGGCCAGTTTTGAACTCAGGTCCTCCTGACTCCAGGGCAAGTGCTCTATCCACTGTACCACCTAGCTGCCCCATAGGTCACAGTTTCAATACAAGACAGTTGAACTAGATGCTCTTTAAGGTTCCTTCCAACTCCAAAATTTTAGGATCCTACAGGGAAGTGTGGAAAGATGTAGACTAAGTGACAGAATCATAGGATTTAGAGCTGGAAAGGACCTTAAAAATTATGATCTAATGCAGGGGATTCTTAACCTTTTTGGTGTCATGGACCCCTTGGGCAATCTGGGGAAGTCTATGGACTCCCTGGATTAATATTTTAAAATGCACAAAATAAAATACAAAGGATTGTAACAAAAACCAATTACAATGAAATATACTTATAAAAATACGGTGGGTTTTTTTTCTAAATATAACCTGGACCCCAGGCTAAGAACTTTGATCTAGTCACAAAATCACAGATTTGGGGTTGGAAGGGGCTTAATAAGGTCATCTACTGTGACTTGTAGATGAGGAAATTGTGATCTAGAGAGAATTAGTGACTTGCCCAAGGACATAGGGATGGCAAATAGTAGGGTTAGATTTGAGGCCATATCCTCTGACTCCAAATCTGGTGCTCATTCTACAATATCACATCCAGGGTGTCTGGGACTAGCTCACCATTGGCCACCCCCAAGGGTTTGAAGGAAGCAGTAGGAGTGACAGTATTGGTGGAGTCAATGAAGTTGAGAGAGGCGCAGAAGATCCCTGAGAGGATGTTACTGAGCTCCTTCCAGGATTTATCAACACTAGACAGAAAAGAAGGGGAAAACATCCTAATTCAGTCTTGGGACTGCTTCTGTGTGTCTTACAAACAGATCTGACTCCCAGAGTGAAATTAGGGACAATGTAGCAAAATAAAAAAACTCAACCCCCAAAACAAAAAGGCTTGCCACCAAGGTAAAAAAGAGAAAATGCTCCACACACAACTCTCTCTCTGTTCTGGCCACTCCCTCTATAACTTCCACTCCTTATCAAAGGGCCCTCTCCCCTCCAGCTAGGCCAATCTTCTTGTCCTCTTAAACATAGGGGTGTCATGATTATTACCAAGAATAACAACTCAAATTCAAATGGATTTTTTAGTTTGTAAAGGACTGTTTTCACAATAACTCTGTGAGGAAGGGGCTGCAAATGTGATATCTTCATTTTATAGATAAGGAAGTGGACAATCCTGGAGCTCAAGTGATTTAGGATCCCAGGATCTAGAGCTGGAGGGGATTTTGGAGAGCAAAGTCCATCCCTTGCATTTTCACAAATGAGGAAACTATAGCAGAGATGGGAGATAATCAAGGAAAGACAATTAAAGATGTAAAGCAAAGGACAGAAAAGAGTAGAAAGAAAATTGGAGAGAGAAAATACAAAAGCTAGAAGTTGGGAGAAAAAGGTAGCCAAAGAGCAAGGTTCAATAGGTTTTGAGGTTAGAAGTAGAGGTTAGGGCTTTCTATTCACCTACTTTGGGCTTCAGGGTTTTTCCCTCTTTTAACTACCACCCTGGGAAATATTCACAGCTCTTCAAGTGTCCCTATCCCAAAGGGATAGTGCAGTGATGTCTGACTCAAACAGAAAAGGACTTAGAAAACCACAAATTAATGTTATCTATCTTGTATTATAATTTTATTTATTCTGTTAAGCATTTCCTAATTACATTTTAATCTGGTTCCAAGGCACTAACAAGCTTTATGGACTGCTTGGGCCCAGTTTGACACCTCTGTCTTAAAGGATAAGTACAATTATTCTCTAGAATATGACAATGAAGATTCATTATCCTCTACACAGTAATGTTCCTGATAACTGATAAAAGCTACTCCAGACCCTTCCCAGAGGTATCCCAAGTCTCCACTGTGGGAACACTGTGAGAAAATAAACCTGAACAAACATTGATTGTTATTGACTAGGATCTTAATCTGAGGTCACCAGAGTCTGAGGCTCACTCTACAACACCCAAGACACTACACACCTGGCAGCTGGGGTGGACAGCCTGACCTATCTCTGCTGGCCCCCACAGGCACCAGGGACACAACTGGTGGAAAGCAGGGTGGGGGTGCCTCGGGGAATCCTGCACTGTCTCCCTTCCTTCACCCCTAACAGCAGGCAGGGGCAGGTACTTACTCTTCAACTGAATCTTGGAACCAGACCCAAAGCTCAGCCCCCGCTGGGGCCTGCAGGAAGGGCTGGCCCCAGAATCGAGTCCTCCAGAAGCCCTGTGTGAGTGACAGATGTAGCTCCTGCACAGAGTACTTGGAGATCAGCTGCCCCAAAACCTTGGGGAAAAGCCTGTAATGAGAAACTGAGAAGGAAAGAGATGAGCTGGCTCAGCCTTCTCTCCTATACTCCTCAAAAAGAAGGCATGGGCCCCAAAGAGAGGGCTGACAATGAAGAGAAGAGGTAGGTCCAGTGCATACCCCCTTCCTTCTCACCCTCGCCCCCCATTAGTGACTCTGCTAATCTAGGACCAGACACCACCCTCATACCTTCAAACAAACCGTCCTAGAGTTCAGCTCGTATTCAAAGCCCACCCCTAGAAGAACCTTTCCTCTTGTCTCCAATTCTACCCCCTATATCTCGCCTGGTCTTCCCTGTCTTTCCTGCCTCCACCACTATCAAGATGAGGCACGATGAGGTTTCTCCCATACTGAGCGCCTCGCTTGCTCTAGCCCCCAATATCCCACACGTCCTGGGGGCAGAGGTCCCCCATTGCCCTAGAACCACCCTGAGGCCCCGCCCCCCAAGTCCTTCCCAACCAGCTCCAGCGATGCAAAGTCCCACCTCTCACAAAGCCCCGCCCCCCTACATGAAGTTCCGCCCCCTCTTCTCAATCCAGAAGCAAGGCCGCCCTAAGGAATCTCCGGACCCGCTGCCTCACCTCCCTCACGCTGCAACTCCGAATCCCAACGCGTGCGGAACTGAAAGGTAGCCGACACGTCTCCGGAAGGGAGCGGAGTGAGGACCAGTTCCTCCCGCAGGCTATCCCGCTCTGGCTCTGCCCTGCTCTGGCCGCCCGACCCTAGAAGCAGCGCCAGCAGCAGGTGCAGCACGAGTGGCGCCGCCATGGCCATGGCCGCGGCCGCCTCCGCCGTGGCCACCCCGCGGAACCCGCCCCCAAGGGCCCATGGCCAATAGCGAGAATGAATGGGGGCGACTTCCGGGAGAGGCTCCGGGCACCAGATTGGGTTACCAGGGCGACGTCTGGCAGGAGGCGGGGCGCGCTTCACTTCGCGGAGGCTGCCGGGAGAGAGAAAAACTGGGCGAGAGCGGCGTGATTCTTTCTTTGGGCGATGGTCTCATTGTTCGGTGCTTGGTGCTCGGGGCTCCTTGTTTTCTCTGCGCCCCAGTTTGCCTTCCTATAAAATGAGACCCAGCCTTTTTTTTTTTAATATGAAGACCTCCTTCTTTTTAACAAAAAATTTCCCCCACCCCCAACTGGGAGTATTAATATCGCTATCTAATTGAATCCACCGTTTTCAGCTACCTACTCCTGTAAAAAGCTTCCTACTTTGGCACCGCCTCTCCCTCTGACAAACCCCTTATAGTTAGACTGCTGATCTTACCACCCAATCTATCAACCAACACCGATGGGCATGATTAATTGCCTACTGTATGCCAGCCACTGTGATGGGTGCTGGTAATATAGGAACAAAGAATGAAAAAAAAAAAGATACAGCTGACATTCCAGCAAGGAAGACAAGTGCGTCTATGTGCATGTGTGTGTGTGTGTGTGGGGTGTGTGTGTGTGTATGTATATATATATATATACATACACACACACACGAATCGGCAACGTATATACACATATACATATATGCTGATATACATGTGTATATGTGGTCATATGTAGTATAAATATAAAGTGAGTAGAAATATAGGCAAAGTGGTTAAACACAAGATAAGGCGATGGAGCTCTAGCAGTTTGGAGGATCAGGAAAGGCTTAATGCACAGAGCCGAGCTCTAGCTGCAAGTTGAAGGAAGAGACTCAACTGGAGATGAGGAAGGCATGCATTCAAGGCAGAGGTGGCAGCTAGTTAGTGCAAGAGCATGCAGATGAGAGATTGAGTTTCATGTGTGAGGAGCAGAGAGAAGGCCATTTTGAGTGGATCGCCATTGGGGATTAATGTCCAATAGAGCTGGAAAGGTGAGGTAATACTAGTTTGAGTAGGGCTTTAAAAGCTAAGCAGGAGAGTTTATATTTTAACCTACAAGTAATAGGAAGCTACTGGAATTGATTGAATGAGTAGTGAGGTCAGATCCTCTTAAGAAACATCATTTTGGCAACAGTATATAGGATCCCACAAGGAGTGGTAAGAGAATTGAGGCCAATTAGGAAACTGTCACAATAACCTGGGTTAAAGATGATGAAGACCTGGATAATTACAGGCAGCATTTATATAGTGCTTTTTAGGGTTGGAAGCACTTTACAGATTTTATCATAACAACCCTGTGAGTTTACAGATAGAGAAACTGAGGCTGATTTGCCCAGAGACGCAGAGCTAAGTATCTGAGGCAGAATTTTAATTCATATTTCCCTGTCTCCAAGTCCAGCTTTCTATCTATAGCACCCCTTAGCTGTCTCTAGTAAGTTAGTAATTGTGTGAGTAGAAATGGATAGAAGAGATAGAAATAGGAATAGTGCAATTTGGCAACTGATTTTGTATGTGGAGCAAGGAAGAGTAAAGAGTCTAGTATAAAACATGAGAAACTGGAAGAGGGGAAGTTTTAGAGAAAATATAATGAACAATACTGAGTTTAAGATATGTCTGGGGCATCCAGTTTGAAATGTCCAATAGGTAATTGATGATGCAAGATTGAAGCTCAGGAGAAAGACTCTGTGTGTGTGTGTGTGTGTGTGTGTGTGTGTGTGTGTGTGTGTGAAGACTCAGGTCTTCCTGACTCAAGTCCAGGATTCAATGCACTGCACTCTCTCATTGTTTCATTCATATGAGTCATCTGTGCAGAGATGATGGCAACATCCATGGAAAGAATAAAGCTCTCTCCAAACTCAATGATGATCTCTTTTTAAAATAATTTATGTTTTTGTGTAATGCAGTTCTGGTGCATGTGCAGAACTCATCAACTTGCTAAGATGTTGTCTCTGAATGGAGGACACTAGGGAGCAGCTTCTGGAAACACTGTGATGACATATGAGGGAAGTGCCTTAGACAGACTGGAGGATGCAGAACATTGCGTAATTGGCTCTGATTGGCCTAACACATGATTGGGAGTAGCCTTTTTCTATTGGCTATGTAGCTGGAGTTGTCAGCATCTTCAAATTCCAGCTCTGTCTTTTGGCTACATTTGAATCTGGGGGAAGGAGGTGTCTTCTTCACTCAGCATCCAGTGAGACCATATGCTAAGAAGGAAAGCCTTAGGGCCACATCCCCTCTTTCAGGCCGTATGGACTTCCCAAAATGGGGTTTCCTTGGTCTTTTCATTCCTTCTTTTCCATTCTAGGTGCAGGGAATGGAGTCTACAATCTTGGGAGTTTCAAACTCCAGAAGAGCAGGCCACAGGGAATCCAGGCCAAGTTTTGAAGCCAGTACGACATCAATGTTCCAGCAAGCAAGGAGGTACCTTCAGGACTCCGTCCAGCCCAGTAAAAGTACTCATCTGGCAGCGATGCCACTTTTGGATATGAATTTGGTGGGATCGATGCTATGTAGGGACTGAGCTCAGTTTTGATCCTAATTTTCATTTCTTTATCTTTCCTATCCCCTCCACTGGAATGGGATAGTGGGGATTATGACCCATGATGTTGGGGGAAATGTTTTTACATTTGTTCTTGTTATATCTTTGGGGTAAATATCCCTTTGTAAAAGTTATCTGATGTTAAATGGCTAAGCGCTCGTCACTGTCCTCCTAATGAACGGGGGAAATAGCTGTGGGAGTTTGAACCAATAGCGGGAGAAAGAGATTCAGGATGCACTAGAATCCTGAAAGGAAGAAATTATAACCTGGCCCTGAGTGGAGCCAGAGCATGCTTGTTACCTTTGTTCTGGACTTGACAGACATTAACAAATGTGAACATTTTTATATGAGAATGTAACATGGCACGTGTACAGACATTCTCTACGTGGTTTGGGTTCACTGTATGAGAGCTTTGGAGCAGTCTCTGGACATGAAGTAACCAACTGCTAAAAAGACTTGGTGTTTTAATATTATCTGATAGACCCTTAGTGGTCATTTGGTTGTCACCCACCCCTACCCCCGCCAACTTGGGTTCTGTATCTGTTAGAAGAATTCCATTTCCATCTGATGTTTTCTGGTCAGGTGGTAAAACATGATTTCAGTGAGAGGCCCTCCAATACCTTGGTATTAGGGTAATCTCACCCACATGGTAACTGATGCCAGGTACCACAACTGGGCAAGCTTGCCCCACTAGGAACCTGGCTACCATTGCCTATTTGATGTTTGTTTCTTCCTGATTTTGAACACCCTGAGATAAATGAGATGGATTTGTCCTGAGGACCTTGAAAATTTGAAAGTTCTACTGCTTGGGAGTTGGCAGCAGTGTTGTCCTGCTGAGCGCCCCCTCCCAGGGATGGTATCTGATGACTGGGGTAAGCTTCTGCACTGGGGAAGGCAGTCACCCATAGGTGAATGGGAATGCAGCTAGGTTGTGATTAATGCACATGGTAGAATGGCACCAGGCCTCATTTAATGCCAGCCAAAATTCAATTAATGTGACAAGTGTAAGCTAGTCAGTTTGCGCTTTTCCCATCATTGGATATGGATATAATGTGCTGACGCATACTGTATTACCAACAGTTGTGTTAATTTTTTTAAATACCTTTAACAAAAAGGACAAAAGGAAGAATATTTCAGATGGAAACAATGCTAGCATAAAAAGGAAGAGGCTCATTATTACATTAGAACAAAATTTTGATATAATTGAACAACATGAACATGGTCATAGTAACTTTAAAATAGGACAAGATATCTGGATGCCTGAATCTATAGTACAAAATATTATTAATCATACAGGCAAAATAAAAGAAAAAGGGAAATCCCTATCAACTTTTTGTGGTTTGCAAACAGCTATGAGGAATAGAAGTGTTACAACAGTCGAAATGGAGTATCTTTTAGCTGTAGGTATTGAAGACTGCAGTCCAAAACACATTCCTCTTAGCAGAGCAGCCATTCAGATAAAAGCTTCAAATTTATTTAAGACAGTTAAAGAAACTGGAAATGAAGTAGATAATGAAGAAACTCTTACTGCAAACATTAGCTGGTTTGACTTCTTTAAAAATTGGGTTCATAGGGGCAGCTAGGTGGTGCAGTGGATAGAGCATTGGCCCTGAACTCAGGAGAGCCTGAATTCAAATGCGGCCTCAGACCAAACTCTTGACACTTACTAGCTGTGTAACGCCGGGCAAATCACTTAACCTTAACTGCCTAAAAATAAAAACAAACAAAAATTGAGTTCATTTGCATGTCATTAAAATTACTGTAGAAGTGACCAGTGCAGATTAGGATGTGGGCACTAAATAGTTTAAAGAATTTAAAAATATTTTAAAGAAAATAATCGAAGGCAGGTAAACCAATCAACAAATTTTTAATGTGGATAAAATGCACTTATTCTAGAAAAGGATGTCTTCTAACAAAGAAAAAACTCAACCTGGATTTGAATTACCTATGGCTTGCCTGACATTTTTATTGAGATGCAGTGCAAAAGGGGAATTTAAATTATAACCAATATCTGTTGATCTGAGAAACTTACAATCATTGATTGCTTCAAGTTCTTTGGTAGGCAAATAAGAAAGCATAGGTGATGAAAGCTGCTTTCAAAGACTAGTTTTCAGGTTATTTTAGTCCTGCTGTTGAAAGATACTACAGGGACAACAATATCCCATTTAAGGCATTACTGATTTTAGATAACACTTAACGCTGTCCAGCCATACCTGGTTTGTTGTGTGAGAATGTGAGCATGCCCATTTGCCAAAATGTGGATATAGATCACTGCATCTACCTGTGCATATATGAAGATTTAAAGATAGAGAAAATAGTTCAGTCTACACTACTAAAATATTTTAAACTTTAACAATGTTTTCACCATATTATATAGATTATCTTTAGATATGGTATGGAATAA